AATTTTAAAAATTATTGTCTTACTCGAAATTTTTCGTTCCACGAATAAAGTATCCCTTCTTGTTTGAACCGCATGCCAAAGATGCAATTAAAGTCTTGATGTGTTCATAAACTATTTTAATTGGATTGTTATTTTATGTAAGGATTCTTAATCATAAATAAGTTAATACAATCTTAATTAGAAAACATTTGTTATAATATAATGAAAGCTTGATTAAAACATTTCATAAACTTGTCCAGACTTTTATTTCATGTTCAATAAAAATATGAGTTGGAAAAAAAAACTCATTTTTATACGAAAACTTGTCGAATAATTTTTTTTTTTTTAATTTGAAGAATATTGTAATGATAATGTTTATAAGTATATATCTATATTATATATAAATATATTTAATGAAATATTTTTTCATCTTTCATTTCTTGTGAGAATTTTTTTGTTATGCGAATCAAACAAATGTGGCTGTTTTTTTTATACATCATTTGAAAATATGATAAGGCGCAATGATTATTTGTGTATGGATGCAACAATTAAAAAAGATTCCTAGTTGTGGTCAGAGCAACAATCAAGAACCATCTCAAAACTCTTACCCTTAAGCCTCATTAGGAAGAGAAGTTCTTGAAAATCTCCTTAGTAAAGCAAAAATTACACAATCCCTGTCGAACTGTAATTTTTTTTGTGAGTTTCTATGATTTTTCATGAGTGATTATAAAAAGTCGTCTCTAAGTTCTCGGTACAAGAAATTGTTGCAAGCAAAGATAAGTTTGACTAACCCAACCCATAAACAAATAAAGCCCAACCCATCAACAAATGAAGGGGGAAAGTATTCAAACCATATTTCACAAAAACATAATTGTCAAAAGTATTACATGCTCGATGTTCTTCCTTTTGCCCCCACCTATCTATATAACCGAACAGAGAAGGATAAATATCTAAAATACATTAGAATAATATTTATCTATTGTGCTTACTATCAACTCCACCCGTGAATAAGCAAATGAAAGACGTTGGGAGTGCTTTAAAAAATTATTAAATAGCATTTGTTATAAGACCCGACTCCTAAAAAAACGACTAGGGAAAACAATAATTGAAATACATTATGGCACGCGGTGATTATTTGCACGCAAATCCTGCAATTGGGAGAGAAAAACAAATCCCAACCTTGAGGATATAATTCATATCTTTAATAATAATTGAAATGCACAATGCAATGTGATGATGAGCCACGCAGATAAAGCGGTCGAAAGAGAATACCAAACCCTGAAGTCGATCAAAACTTAAAGCTTACTCTTTCTCTCTCTTTCTCTCTCTCTTTTATGCGTAAAAATAAAAATTTAAAAAATACTAAAAAAATAACTTTTATTAGTTAAGCTTAAGAATAAGTGTTGAGAAAACACTAACTTGCCACTTGTATCCGTTTTCAGTTCAAACGTTGTTTTGCCTCTTGGCAAGGAACTTTAACCAACAAATGAGGGTTTCACTTACATTAATGTGCTAATTGAAGCTCTGACACAGTGCTAGTGCCACTTCACAATCTCGCCTAACAATTGGTCAATGATTTTCCGGTCGCTTAATATATATACTAAGAACATGCTTTCCCTGCTGATTAAATAGATGAAAAGAAATGAGGTTGACTTACTCATGGACAAATCAACACGATCTGTTGATCTCCTTGTAGGTCAACACAATGCTAATTTATATGTCTGATCCGCAGTCGGCTGAACAGACCGGCCGCCTTCTGACTCTCATCGGATTTGTACACTGCTGATTACTTGAAGAAGAACTTGTCTGACCTGCTGTTTCATGGAAGATGAATCTACATTAAGATTCGCAGATTGATGGTTACTTTATTACACCATCACTTTACCTGACACCGAAAAATGACATTTGAGCGGGTTCGAAGCGGGTTTAAAGAGGGGGGCGTCGTTCGGCAAGCACACGCATGTCCAATCCTGTACTTTTTACGACAGGTGCTAATGGGTCCAGTCTTTCACGTGCTGACTTCGACAAATTTTCAAACTCGAAAAAATTAAAAAAATATATAAAAATTTAAATTAATATAAATAAGGTCGTGCTTTTATAAAAAATATGAAAAACAAATCATTTAGCACATGAAATAAATATCGTGCCTTTATATTTTTCATTTTTCCAGTCTACAACTTGTGGACCAACAAGAAAAATACCCCAATTTTAGCAATTTTACATGTTGAGAAGAATACGTAAAAAAATCTAAAAATTGAAAGGTCAATAAATTTGATTGTGATCTTTGAAGAAAATAAAATAAAAATAGGTCGTGGCAACAGTTCATTGCATTTTTCATTCTTGTTGTTGTGTTGGTGCTTCCCGTAACCTCATGAACCTGTGTTTCCAGTTCTAGGAGTTTTTTTAACATCAGATAGAGTGGTGGTTTAAAAGAAGAAAAACTTGCATGGGCTGCCATTGAAAAAATAAATATATCGTTAAGAATAATTGAAGGATATAATGACACGTGATGATCAACCATGTTGATCAAAGCGATCGAGAGCAAATAATTAACCCCGATGTTAAACAACACTCAACTTCCTCTTTCTTCTCTCTTTTATTCAGGTGCGAAGGTGAAAATATAAAATCGTGGCTTTAGTCTAACTTAAATCATTCATACCTCTGAGTCTGTTTTCGTCGAGCCTGAATTTCATTGCGCTTCGAGTTTTGTTGAGCTTGAGTTCAAAGTGTCCGACTCCATTTTCTTTTCTTGTACTCTCGCGGGAAAAAAATCATCACCATGAAACAAAAGAAAAAAAAAACGAAGAGAAGCGTTGCTTGTGAAAAGCAATTGTATGCATTATTGGAAGTGGTAGTGTGAAGAACCATTCATCAAACCATTTGTTGCATGACTGTCCAAATTCCGTCTCCCATTTTAAGAAACCTTATTTGCAGAAAGCAAACTTTGACTCTCCTTCCTCATGTTTTGTTATTTCCTCTGCCTCTCCCTCACTGCTGATATCAATAACGTGGTGAGGATCATTAACCCACTGCTATTTCTTTTAGTGAACTGGACTACACCCCCTCCCATTGTTTCTCATCCTCTGATTGAACTGTTCACCAGGGTCCTCTGTTTGTTGTTTTTTACCCCTTTCATAAATTTCTTCCTCCTCACTGGAGAGGTCCTACCATATCCTCCCTTTCCTCCCGCTTTCCTTTTTTGGCCTCATTTTCTCCTTCTCACTGTCATTCTTAAACGAACTATCTCTCTTCCCGCTCTCCTTGAGAGGCGAGCGTACGCTACAAACAACCTTCCTTATTTTTTGGTCATACTCAGGCTTGATTTTGAGGCTTATATACAATTTTATTTTTTGTCTTTTTTAAGGGGTTCCATACGATTCCCACCTTCCCTGTTCAGGACGTTGACCTAGTTTTCGTTATTCTCTTAACCTAATTTCATCCCAGTTTTTTTTCTTCCTTTTTTTTATGTCAAAGCGTATTATCTCTGCAAGCAAAAAAAAAAAAAAACACACACACACATAAACCAAAAAAATGAAAAACCTTAGTTCCTCACGCATAACACTCCATGGCGCTCAACTTCCTCAATAGTATACACCCGGGTGGTCCCCACATACCACACCCCTGTGACGAGGTTGTCAGATTCTAAAAAAATAAAGAAGGAACACAAGGGTTCGACCAAAAAATTAGCTTGATACATTTTCTTAAGTAGAAGTGCAATCAGAGTAACAATCCTATGAGGAAACACAGGTTCAACAGATAACAGATTCCGCCTTGCCTTGTTGGCAAAAAACTCATAAGGATAATATGAGAAAGAAAAAAAACAAAGAAACAACATTAATAGTCACATTGTTTTAGCTGTACGATTTATTATATGGAGGACTACTATGAACACGACCTCCTAGACTACCCTATCCGTTATCATTGCAATAGATAAAGTATCTTCATTTTTTTTTTAGTTTTTTCTTCACGCGTGGACAAATATAAAACAGAACTTTATGAGACTTACCGAGTCCGAGTCCCACTCTGAATAGTTTTGAAACGGGAGTTTTTCCCGAATTTTCCAACATTGGAGGAGGTATTGGTGGTTTAAGGATTAACTGTTGACAAGGCATTAACTTATTGCTTCGATCCGTTTTCGTTTGAATCTCTGCTTTGGCTGTTTTGGCTCATAGCAACATATCGTAGCGAAAATCTAACCAACAAACGAATATTTCATTAGTGTTGCATGCTAGTTGGTCTAACACAGTGCAAACACTTCACTACCTCGCCAACCAATTCGCCAAAGATCTACCGGGTACCTGACATATATCCTCCAAAACTTGTTTGCCTTACTGAAGATATAAGGAAAAAAAAATGATTGACTTACTCATGGACAAATCACCAGTTTGTTAATCACCTTCTAGGTCAACACAACGTTGATTGATCTGCCAGATCAACAATAACCTACTGGCTCGTCGTCAGATTTACAAATTATTGGTTTGTCGATTAACGATGCAAAAACTTGCACGGCCTACTGATGAACTATTGAACAATTTGCTTGATTCAGATCCATAATGTGCTTGTTGCTGATCTATAGACCGACATATCAACAATCCATAAGCTTCTTCACAGACTGGTGATCGCCTGCTCGCCCGCCGATTTACAGTGCAATAATGCTTGACTCATATCAACAACCCACTAAACTGGTGATCATCTGCTCGCCTGTCGATTTACATTCCAACAATGCTTGGCTCAGATAGACAACCCAACAACTATTTTTTTGTATTGACTTACATACGAACAGTCAGTAAAGTTTTTAACGGATTAGTGATCTGCCAATCACATCGCCTTTAGGTAGGAAAACATTTGGTGGTCGACCGCTTGGTTTTTATCTAATAGTTTGGTTACGACTGACTTTATCAAAGTGGCTTGGAGGTCGATAACAAGATGTTGATGACATTCTTCTTGTCAATCTCCAGGCTACAGGGCGGTTATGGTTGGGTGATTGTCCATTTCGACAAGTGCTGAAGTGGTGCCAAAAGTCTAAAATATTTGATTGATTATCCTCGTTCTTTCCCCCTCTTTTATAATCGACTTCATGCACGTCTTGCTATACTAAAAATAGATAAATCATACCTTAAAATATGATCAACTTCAATTGATGATAGCCACTTGAGATCGATCTTTGCTGAAGACCCTACATCGACCTGCAACATCAAACAAATCATCAATGTTTGACAAAGGGTATGCGTTCCTTCTTTTTATTCTTTTCAATCCATGGTAATCAATACACATTCATACTTTATTTTCTTTTTTAGGAACAAACAAAACTGGTGTACCAAAGTCGGATTCGCTCAGCTTGATTCATTCTTTTTTTTTTCATGTCATCGACCTGTCTTCAAATTCAAACCGGTGATAACCAAACTTAAGGTCAATCTTGTTGAAGGTCTTGCATCGACCTGCAAGATCAAATAAATCATCAATGCGTGACAAAAGGTATGCATTCTTTCTTGTTATTTCCTTTGGTCCACAATCATCAATACACATCCGTAGTTTGCCTCCTTTTTTTGGAACAAACAAAAGTCGTGTATCGAATTCGAATTCGGTCGGCTTGATCCCATCGTTTTTTCAGCATGTCATCGATTTGTCTTCTCAACTCTTCCAATTCGTCTTAGCTCTTTCGATACACAGAATGTTTTGGAAAAGTGCTGCATTTTTTCAACTTGAACTCGATCTTGTGTTGGACCGGGTACACGAGAACTCCACCTGATTCGGCCAAAACTTATGGTAATCAATTGAAAAGACTGCGGATCTGTGATGAGACCTTCGAAGGTGACGTCGATTCATTAGAGGTAAAAGTAGAGGTAGAAGTAGAAGTAGAAGTGGAGGTATGTTGAAAACAAAAACAACATACAAAGAAAAACCATTATATATAACAAAATAGAAAACGCATGAGCAAAGCCTAACAAAGGCTATATACATTTTCTTTATCATTTTTGTGCCAGCGTCACTTCTTGCATACTTTCATTGCGTTGAGAAAAATCAGTTAGAACACGTGCGATTTGTCCAAGAGGACTTTAAGCTCGATCCCCAAGACATCTTTAACCATTAAGTGTGAGTCCTTCCACATGGTTCTTTCGTATTGAGCCTGCAAACAGCCTAAGCCAATAACTGCGCCGAAGTGACACTTATCAATGACATAGTAGTTCAACTTATGTGTGATTGTGCGATTTGCATCAAAAATAGTGTGCACACCTTTAACTGCATGCGTAGATGTGACAACCTCTTGGTTGCCCACTTGGGTCCAACACGGATTCAACAAAGTCGCTTGCTTCATTTCTAAGTGTGTCTTACTAATGTCGTGCAGTGAGAAGTAGTTGGCGGTTGCACCACAATTAGCCAACGCACGAATATATCAATCATTAATGCGAAACTTGAAGAAAATTATTTTCGTTTTCCCCTGCTCGCGCTCTTGCTTCATCTGAGCTAGCGCAGCAAGAGAGCATGAAAGCCAATCTCTTTCAACTTCACTCAAGGCTCCTTCTAAAGGATATGCATCTTCCCAACCTCGAAATTAGCATCAAATTGGGTCTCAAGAACAGATTGTTGACTGGGATCAAAGTCCAGTGAAGAACTCTGCACTTACTTATTCAGCCTCTTTTTCTATAGAGTGTGCTGATAATACTTATACCTCATTTGTTGGTTTCCCTGCTGCAATCTGAAACACTGTCGGACTGGATGTCCCGATTTGACGTAATGCAGACAAACCCCCTTCTTGATCCTGTGGTTCCACTGACTTTCACTTATCCAGAGATCTACCCATGGTTTTGTGGCAGGATCCTCTGGTTTGGTATAATCTTGGTTCCTTTGAGGAGATGAATGATGTTAGTATTGCTTTTCATTGAGTTTTTCGGCTCCTTACTCTTGAAGGCATCTTTTTTAAAGAGATTCATTGATTCACCATCATCTGCAGTTTCGGACTCGTAAGCCAAAGAACACACCAGGTCAGCATCTTGCTCTTGGTCGTCAACAAGAGTACAACCATCTGCACTAACCAAAGCTACCTGATGCGTGAAAGAGGTCTTGTAGTTCTCACCTTATGTCCTTCATGAGGGAAAACTAGTTTCGGTATTCGTGGAGTCCTGGCCCAAGACGATTAGTAATGGTTGAGGTTACCGTGGCTTTGATAATATCTACACATGGTTGTGCTATTATCTCTAAGCCGTGTGTGACAAAGAGATTGATGTGATGTATCATCATGTCTTTAATACTCATGGCAGTCGGTATCTTGCACCTGATAGCGTTTGATGAACAATTCCTCGAGTGCAGTGATCTCAGTGGCCTTGGCCACTTGTTCATGTCCAGTCTGGTGTATCCAGCCTGTATGACTTGAAACTCTATCCAACTCCGTATTTCGAATACGATATTGGTTCCCACAACAATCGATTGAGTAACCGAGAAACTTCTCAAAATGTCGAAGTATACTCGCATAGCCGCGAGCCAGAACATGACATTGCCTTTCCCGTCGTATATAGGCGGTAACACGACCGTCTTTTTATCCACATAGGATACGCCATTACTAAGGCCATAATTTGCAAAAACTTGAACTGGGACTGCACCAACTGCAGAGCTCGCTGCACCGCTCCTTTATGTAACAACAATGAAAGAATCACTTGTTGAAGGTCCTATACTCATCAAGCTCAAGGATGAAGAAGAGAAGAGGGGAGCATGGATGGTAGATAAGGCAACGAAACTTGATGCATTTGGAAGAAGCAGGGGGTTAAGGATGGTCAAATGCAGATTTGCTATTCGCTGCAGCTAATCACTGTGCCTCTTCTCCACCTAGACTATGATATCTTGCAAGTCTTTCATCTATCAAAAAACTAGGACACAAAGCCATAGCGAGTACTCATCATGTGGCAATGGAGCAGTACCCACACATAAGTGACCGGATGAGGCTTCATTTCCTCATCCGCCAGGGAGGGCACAATCTTAAAAACTTCCTCCTGGCCCTGCATAATGACCCTTTCCTTCTTCTCTGGTGCTTTTTCCTCTGCCTTCGCTTCCTTCCTCAATGAATTGTGGTAGAGGATAAAGAAAAATGGTTTATCCTCTTCGTCAACGACATCTATTTACCTTCAGACCGACTATGCTTTTAGGGTTCCTGTCGCCATGTCAACCCTGTTAGGATTGTCAACACCCAATTCATAAAACAATTGTGAAAACCTCTCACAATGAGGGCTCCCTGATGGCTTCCTTGGACGGGAACACATTTGCTTCTTTCTTACCCGCTCAAGTGCAACACTCAATGTCCTCTCTCTTTGCTTTTTGTCTCGTTCGTGTTCGTGTCGATATGGTCATTAATTAACCCAATGAAAGAAACGGTTTCAATTTCAATCAGAAGAGACGGTAGGCTCCTCGCCGGAGCGACAATTCGTTTGGACTGGAGAGCAGACAAAAATAGAAAATAAAATAAGACGAGCAGGTGCAACCAGCGTAGTTCCGCCCGCGAAAGAAGTCAGGAAGCAACCCCAATGAAGAATCTCACTTCGCTCTTTCTGTTTCTGACTCTATGTTTTCTTTRTTAGTGTATGGCTGGTGCTTTCTGTATCACTGTTTTAGCTCTTGGCGTCTTCTGTCTTTCTAAGTGTTTGTGGAAAGCAGAATAGTAAACAACAATAGTCACAAACAGCAAGGTCGTACACTGTCACAAACAGAATAGTAAACAACAACGAATCTTCAATGATTCAAAGAACATTATCATCGTCACAGAGAAAGAGTAGAAAACAAAATCGCTGAACTTAAAATAAACCGGCCACAAATGCCATCCACATATTTAATTTCACCGATTCGATTAACAACAAGTGAAGTTATGTTGACCGGTCACACCGTCGTCAGCTCTCTCTCTCTCTCTCTCTCTCTCTCTCTCTCTCTCTCTCTCTCTCC